GTTGTAACCCACAGGATTAATGATTTATTCCAGAGCTGGGGGTTCACCCATTGTTCGTACTAGGACCTCATGTGATTAGCCCTCTCAACTCTCCAAGCCTTGGAGTCCAAGGTCGCAATATGAAACGATAATCAACTCTGAAACGAACATACACAATTATTAGATTATTATGATGAGTCACTCATGCCACTGGACGCTGCTTCCTCGTCGTCGCTGGAGATACCATCAGAACTCCAGGTATCCGCGGAAGCGCGATCATCTTCATCCTCGGGTGCCTGTGTGGGGCAACTCGGCGATGAATGGGAAGCTTCAACAGTCACATCCCTCCGCTCTGCGGAATCCCACTCAAGACTCCAGTTGTAGGCAACCATGCAGTCGATGAGTCGCTGGGGGAAGATATCACGATCAGGGTTCACCTTGAATCTGAGGTTCCAAACTCGCTGGAGTCTGGCATGCATTGCTTCCCCAGATTGTTCTGATGACAAGCCGAGTCCTGCATTCGGAACAGGTTCGTAATTGTTGAGGTACTCTTCGATATGATCCGAAATAATGTGAGCCTTCAACGACCAAGATAAACCAGCTCCAGCCCATGCGGTCCGAAATTCGGCAATAGATTCCCGCCAACCATCCTGTCGTTCAAGGCCAAAGCAGCGATCTTTGACGGACTTGAAGGCCTTCATAGCCGTCACCACAGGAGCAGCTCTAGTGCTGAAGGGAATAAGGTCTTCGGCCACAGCGTCCAGTAGGCGGGAGCAGGCATTCCCCTCTAGGGCTCCCTGAAAATAGGTGGAGCGGCGTATCCCATACTTCACTAGTGCTCGGCAATGTCGCTTGTAGATGGACCGTTCACCCTGTTGCTTGGCTGCCAGCCAAGCAAATGGCTGGGCAAGCAAGATCATAAAGCTTGTTGGTAATTCCAAGTAGAAGATGCAACGGCGAGAGCGTCAACAGCTCCATCGGGGACTCCTCCCATGCTACAAGAGGCTCCTCCACAACATTGTGCTTCCCGTCTTTGCGGTCTTGAAGGTGCTGCGACCACGATCGGCTTATCGATGGTTGACCATCACAAACCGAACCCTTCATGAAGAGACAAAACGGACAAGGGTATTTGCTCGATGCTGGCTGAATGCCAGCAATTATCGCAGCTACCTTCAAATCGCATGCAATGATCTTGGGAATTCCCATGTCGAACAAAGATCTGATCCATCTATGGTTAAAGACCTCGGATAGATTATGATGGGTCTCACTGGCTTGGCCCATCCCAATAACGAAGTTACGCAGGACGCTATTAGGCTTGGGTACATATCTCGAGCCAGGATCCATAGTCGCTACGTTGATAGATACTTTGAGAAACTGCTGACCACCGTCTAACTGGAACTTGAGCCTCGTTATACGGTCAGCCTCACCAGCAGTAACCGTATTCAACAACGAATTGACATCAGTGCAGAACCCGAAAGGTGTTGGACCTGGTGACGATTGTCTATCCTCTTGCAAGCTCAAGGTCTCAGCAGCGAATACAGGACCGAAAACTACCCACTTCTCGTCAAGGGCTCGCTGTAAGCCCCCTTCAGGGAAAAATATACCCTGACCACGTAGGATTCTGCACATCTCCTTGGCACTGGTCTTTCCCAACCCCAGGTGACCGAGACGGAGAAGATCACGAACTGCATCTGTGGTTAGCTCGACTTTCTTAACGTTCGTAGCTTTATAGGGTACTGGGGTGAGCTCAAGTCCGAGTGCGTGATGTGCATCTACAGACACGCCGGTTCTGACCGGGCCACTTGAAGACGCAGTCGAGGAGCTAGTCGAAGAGAGGAACTTCTTTTTCAAGTTCACCCGGAGCATTTCATCTGTATAACCCCTAGTGTCAACCCGGTCAGAGAACCTCCGACCTGCAGCCCCTGAGTTTCTTGGTCGTTTTTTCACACTATCGCACGTACCGAGATCGTGCTCGCTATCCATATACTGGCCGCATTTTGAGCACATGGGCCTAGGAGGTGACTGTTGTAGTGGCCGTCCTTTCTGTGGTGCAGCAGAATGCTTTTTCTGTAGAGTGTTGGACTTCTTCTCTGCGTAAATACAACACACCTTGCAACGATTCTCGGCCGAACATATAACCGTGCCCCTCGTCTTAACGGGCTCGTAGTGCCAAAAGGCTCCGCTCACATAAAACCTTTTGTGCTCCTCCCACTCCGTCTGCTCAACCTCGTTATCGCGTAAACGGCACAGTCGCCTCTTGCAACCGTCACATAAAACCTTGGGTAGACGGGTATTGGTGAGTTCATCTTTGAAGTCGATCTTGTAGAACCGGGTAGCCAGGGCACACATGGCTTCGCTTGGTGGAGGCGCTTTTGATTGGCCGTTGCGTAGGGTCACTCGGTGAGCACAGAAACGGCAGACACGGTAGAGTCTATCGTTATGGAACGAGTCGGTTAAGATGGAGACCTCTTTCGGGATTTGGAGCCACGTAGAC